GACCCTCCCAAATAAAAATAAGACTATACTTCCCGACACAATGTTTTACCTTACGCATCGTAGGGGAGGTTATAAGGGCAGACTTGATTCAAATGTCTCACAAGATGGCCACTGTAATCAATATGTAAGCAGGCCTAATATTGGACAGACCACAATGAACCAACGCGCCCTACGGTTATCCTCAAACGTTTTAAATAATAAATCTGTAAGACATAACTATTCTCAACACTTTCCCATTGTTCAGGATGGATTACTAGGTTATTCACCATCAACCAAACCCCAATTGGCAGGTGCTCGTCTTAACTGTCCGCTAGTCAAGTTCAACAAATTAATGCACTTTGTCAAAATAATGCAGGGGCATCACTCTTCTCTCAATAACAGGAAAACTCTTCAACAGGGTATCGTTAAACAGGATGAAGGACTGCGTAGACGCCCAACTTCGAGACCAACAGGGTGGATTTCGTAAGGATCGATCGTGTACAGACTGAATCGCAACTCTACGGATCATTGTGGAACAGTCAATTGAATGGAATTCATCACTCTACACAGACTTCATTGACTACGAGAAAGCATTTGATAGCGTGAACAGGACAACACTATGGAGGCTTCTTCGACACTATGGCGTGCCTCAGAAGATAGTCAGTATTACACAGAATTCCTTTGATGGATTAAACTGCAAAATCGTGTATGGAGGACAGTTGACAAACTCGTTCGAGGTGAAGACCGGTGTCAGGCAAGGTTGCTTACTCCCACTCTTTCTCCCGGTGATCAACTGGATCATGATGTCAACACCTGGGGAGAAGCACGGGATACATTGGACATCTAGGATGCAGGTGGACGATCTAGACTTCGCAGATGATCCGGCTCTCCTATCGCAGACGCAACAACAAATGCAGGAGAAGACGACCAGTGTGGCAGCAGTCTCAGCAGTAGTAGGTCTCAACATACATAAAGTGAAAAGCAAGATTTGTGGAGATATGCCTGACAATCTTATTTTGTAAATAGTTTTTAATGTTATTTGTATTTATTTTGCCAATTTTTCACTGTATGTACATTTATCATTAAATGACTGTACGTGTTGTTTAAGTGAATGAACTTGAACACACTTTCCGTCGTGTAACTTACATAGCATGACATACTGTTAATTGCTAACAAATACATTGTTGCACACATATCCCTCGTTCTACATTCATTTGTGATTGAGTTAACTGAAGTCTAAATCAAATATTATCTATATTTATAGACTGTGATTGGAAATATATCATAACTTACATGGGATTATATTATTGGAGAGTTCATCAACTTTATTGGAATCATCAAATATTTATAATTGTGGATTTTCAGCACCAGACCAAATCCAAACACTAATCAATTTGGTGAATGTAAGTAAAATCCCTATTTTCTATTGTATTTTTAACAATTGACTTATATATATTAACATTACTATTGATCTTTAATAACTTTATTAATACTTTTTACGCTTGTAAATTTTCTGGTCTACCACAGATTCTCCGATACAACACAACATGCACCTATCGAATCACACTTGACAGAGTAGATTCGGAAGATGTAAAACCTTTACATATCTGGGCAGCATCATTGATGAACACAGTGGATCTGATGCAGATGTGAAGGCGCGGGTCGGAAAGGCAAGAGCAGCATATCTACAACTGAAGAACATCTGAAACTCAAAACAACTGTCAACCAACACCAAGGTCAGGATTTTCAATACAAATGTCAAGACAGTCCTACTGTATGGGGCGGAAACCTGGAGAACTACGAAAGACATCATCCAGAAGATACAAGTGTTTATTAACAGTTGTCTATGGAAAATACTTCAGATCCGTTGGTCAGACACTATCAGCCACAACCTACTGCGGGAGAGAACAAACCAGATTCCAGAGAAGGGAGAAATCAGGAAGAAGCGCTGGAAGTGGATAAGACACATATCAAGGAAAGCGCCCAACTGCGCCACAAGACAAACCCTCACATGGAATCAGTCAGTCAGTCTCTCAGTTCTTTTAAACCCCTTCCATTTGTACACTGGTTTATCCATTCAACTCCATACTGTGGCTTGTTTTCTCTAACCTGATGAAACACATTTACTTAGAAATTGGTTTAATAAAGGAGAATGAGTCTAAATAGTCACACCCTAATTGTTCCACCACAAATGACTAAACCCCACTAGTTATGCAAACTGTCCGTCCTGTTTCTCACTCTTCTCTTTTTCTCTCTTTTTCAGCACCCTGATGGTATACCTCCGGAAACATTTATGGAACATACGACTCTATCCTGAGCCGTCACTTATACTTACAGGATTTATCTGGGATCGCTATCGAGAATCACAAACTAATACGTCCAATTTGACGTGTTTGTTAAAATTTTAGATAAGATTATTTGGATCAAGTTGTTTAAATACCTCGATGAAAACGGGATCCTTTCGGAAGAGCAGAATGGTTTTAGAATTCCTATCTCACAAACTTATTATTGGCTTGTGAAAGCTGGTGCTTTCTTAAACACAATAAGTTACCCATAGACGTGGTAGACGTGACATTTAAACAGTTTAGCAATGAAAAGTTATTCACAAAAATAAACACACTTTAAAGCATAAATAATTGTACGACTCCAATTCTGTTGATTACGCAGTCAAAAATTGACTATTAAGTTAGGCTAATTTCACCCATTAATGGACTGATTTGAAATGGTAATATGTGAATACTGACCATTGATATACAATTACATTTCCATCAACATAAAGTTCATCAATACGTTTAGAAATTTCACGTTCAAAACGTGAAGTTATCAAAGGTCCACAAAAAAATTATACAGCTACTAGTATTTCAGCTAGATATTCAAGGGTAGATGAAACAATGCAGCTACAACTTAAAGTATAGCCAACAGATCCAAATTCATGATAACGGTGTAATTATTACAACACATCATAAAAAGCTGGGTGACCACAAAGAATAGTTGGTTTTGAAGAAAGTGGTATTTTTGGAGTGATTATTACGAACAGTGTAAGAATTCTGATGCTGAATGATACACAAAGCAGCATAACAGTTTGAAATGCCACCAGAGATTTAGTGATTTCTATGGAGAACGTAGCGCATAGACTTACACGGACCTACCCCTTTTATTTCAATAAATATGAACGCAAACCATGATGAATTTCAACTTGGAGATGTAGAGTAACTTAGTCTAGTTGGCACAATGCAACTATGTAACTAGGTCATCACTTATGAACTGATAAACATGAGGTTGGCCACCGCTCTGTAATCAATCAACCTTAAGTTTGGGAATCGTAGATATTCTCATAGAGAATTTCATCTACCATGACAGCTTTCTAAAATCAGTTATTTACTTAAAATATTTTGTTAGTAAATCAGTAATATTAGGCCATTAAACAAATTGGTCAGTAGTTCGAGAAAATGATAGAGTGATGAGCTAATTTGTAAGCAACTAGAAGTGCCTACAGCAAAAGTAATAACCTCGTTATCCTCCACGTCCATGCCGAGAGCTCAAATAACCTAGATTTTCTGATTAAGTCCATGAACCGATTGATGTTAGACCCACCACTGAAAACCTAGAAGGCCGTTTCGTCCTATTGTGGGACTCCTCAGCAGTGCGTGTCCACTACCATGTGCTCACAAGTGACTGGTTTCGCGAGGGAATTCTCGGAGTTCTATTGAGAAGCCGTGACCAGTGGAGCTAATCCGTGCCAGGTAGAGACAGGTATCTACCTCAGTACAATGGGAGATGGCCGCGAAATTTCGTGAAGTGGTTGGGGTTAGACATTAACACCGTTGGATGCCGGCCCATCTCAGTGTTCTAGAGGTTAAGCGTCCGCGCGCGAGACCGAAGGCTCCGGGTTCAAATCCCGCGAGCGAGATCGTGGACACAAACTGCTGAGGAGTCTCGCAATAGGGCGAAACGGCCGTTCATTGCTTCCAGGTTTTCAACAGTGGTCTAACATCAATCGGTTCATGATCTCAATCAAAAACGTAATAATCTTCACAACCCCATACTGATAATATAGATTTTATTACAAGTTAGTCATCTCTTTAGAGGACAAGATTGATAAACGCTTTCGAATTCATATTCCTGCAGCGGCCTTTGATATTATCTGACTTTTTTATTTTCAATTAACTAATTTTGTGGCCCAGGTCTACTGGGTTTTATAACATAAACACAGCTGTTCTATTCAGATATTTGATTTCTGTTTGGAATATAGTCATAATACATACGTATACAATCGCTCATTATTTTGATCATAATTGTGCAACCATTTTCTGTCAAATTAAATTATTAGTAATTGTGACTTTATCCTTTCTATTTTGTATCATTTTCAGTACATACATGTGAAACAATCTTAAACAGATTTAATCATATGTTCTGTATCTTGTTCTTCTCTTTATGATTCACGATTCCATATGGAATATTCATCTAAACATCATTGAATAAAGTATGTTAAATATGTTCATAATTATATTATTCCTTGTAATTTTAGTCTGTTTAGAGCTAATGAGAAGCTATGAAATAGAACGAACCCATTTTATAATCTAGACATTGTTGTTCTTGCATTTACAGTATTTTCAATCTAAAATACAACATTTTGAGACTCTACCTACGGGCATTTATCAGGATCCAGAGCAATACTGATATAGTTTCAACTAGCGTGTGACGCAGCTAAGATGGGGGTCAATAGTAGTACGAATGCAATGAGAGTACCATCTTCAAAAATGATGCAAATTAATTAAAGTTTCTAATTCCGATAACTCTTAAGTATTCTTGTTGTTGAAGGTGCACCGTAGTATTATAACAAAAACATGAAACATAATCTATTATCTATTTGTTTTTTTACATAATCTAATTATATTTAAGATACTCAGACATCAGTATACCATGATGGTGAAAGTTTCCTAACAAGAATAAAACCCAACCTACTGTGATGTTACTGAAGCAACCACCACTTAGGAAGGCAAAACATTATCGCTTGGAAATCAACTTTTATTCAGATTAGAAACAGAAATGCAATACTGTGATAAGATTTCATCATCTACCATAGTTGGTGTCCCACATAAGAGATCTTTTCCATCAGCCGCTTTTGGGAAAGCAATTACATCTCTGATTGATTTGGCATTTACAAATATTGCAATTAAACGATCAAGACCTAGAGAAAATCTATGTATTGATATAACATCCACTTACCTAACGCAATCCCACCATGCGGTGGAGCTCCAGAATTCAGGGCAGTTAAAAAGTATTCCATTTCACAAGAATTTTCCTGAAATAATAGTGATTATATGCATATATATAAGAAATCTACCTTGAGAATCTCGGTAAAAATATACCTTTGTACCTCAGGATTATGTATGCGAATTGAACCACCTCCAACTTCTTGACCATTACAAACTAAATCGTAATGTAAACCGATGACTTTGCTCGGATCAGTGTACAGGAAATGTGCTGTCTCTGGCGACGCAGCAGTGAATGGGTGATGCACTGATATCCATTGACCTAAAGGAAATGAGTAGTAAGGAACATAATACATCCGATGAAAGAGTAATGAGCATAAATTGACATAAAATTATGCAAAGCAATCAGTAAAACAGATAATAAAGTGGTGATACTAATGAGTCAAAGTGCTACCCAATGATAAGACAATTTGTCCCGGACAATTACGAACATACAAGACATGGCTGGCCATAATAAATTGTAAATTAAAGGACTCATAAACGACCTACTCAAATTAAGGAAGTTAATATTCAGTGTAATTTCTGCGGCGAATTTTGGCGAGACTATAATTCATGAATGAGCCAATAAGAATCGAGTAGATGATTTCAGGGTCACAGATATCTATATTTCAGCACGTACAATCAGTTTACAGCGAATCTTAAGAATGACGTCGAAGCTGAATAGCTACAACAGATGGGACTACTAAGAACCTCCATTACTCATGACTGCGGCATTAAAATAACTGTTGAACAGTGTGCAAACTATCGGGACGATATGGTATTTCGATGTAAAATATATTGAAAGAAGTCTGAAAGAACGAGGACTTTTTGAAACAATCCTGATTGATACCAGGACAGGGTGTGCTAATTATTGTGGACTGGATAATATGAGCACCAGTAATACTGGTCGCAACCTTTTCAAATGTTACTGAAGCTTTAGCAGTTCAGTGGTACGAGTATTATAGCGACTTATGTCCAGTAAAGATGACGACGTTGAATCAGTCGTCTGGAGGAACCGAGAAAATTGATGAGACGGTCTTTCGAAAACGCGGACTTAATAGAGAAACTGTGACAGAAGACTGAGTAAGTAGCAGTACCTTAGATATACTTGGCAGGTCTTTGGTATAGATGATAAATCATCGCAAAAAGGATATTTTCAGAACCTCAGAAACTGACAGGTTACAAAGGTGATACCAATTATACGAGAGTATGTGAAGCCAGGTACCACAATATACACAGACGACTGGAGGGCATACAGATACCTATCTAGACTTGGTTACGAGCAGTGTCATCGTTCACGAGATATTTTGTTGACCCTACCACGGAAGTGCACACTAATATAGAAGCAATGTGGTCAAGGTTAAAAGAATTTCTGAAACATCATCACGGATCCAGAGGTTGACTGTTGTGAAGTCACATAGATGAATTCCTGTACCGTATGCATCACGATTTCAGAGGCACAAGGCCTCTTTCTAATCTGGGTAAGTTTTTAAAACATGTTAGAGAAGTGTATCCACTCTATTTTTTTGGACTTGTATAATAAATTCTTACTATATGCCAACTGCTTTATGATTGGCTGAAATTCCTCAGGGTCACTTGGAATTCGTTCAAGGGTTTCACCTAACTTTTGTTATTACAGATGGGTAGAAATCAGTCTCTCCAAGTGGATATATTAATATTTCTCAATAGCACTACCAACATAAACGAGGGCTACAATTGCTAAGTGAAAGTTTTTAAAGCAACACATGAAATTTCGGATCTCATAACCACAATATTAGTTTTCTAGTGCCCTATCTTCAAAATGACAGGAGGGTTAGTGAGTGAATAGTCCGACTATTAACAATGAACATTTCACGAATTGTTTTCATGTTCACAATACAACGAATTCGAAAGAAAACTCGAGATTACATGCGAGAATCTTCTTTGAAGCTTAATTGCATTCAATGTATTCTCGAACGAATTAACACAACAATTAGCATAAAACCAATTCACTACAATATACATCTCTTTTTTTGTTTACAACACATACCCAAGTTATTTTTTTCAAACAATGGAAATTGATTTACCCAAAGGAAATGGAATCCAGGTTCATATATTGACAAACCTTTAATATGAACGGAAAAGCGTAATAAAGTTACTTCTGCCTGAAACCAGAAGCAAGAACTGAAAATCTTATATCAATGTAATATATGCCCAATCGTCGGGGCTACGTGATATAAATGAACAATAAAATATGAATGCTTCTTGAAATTACATATATTTCCAGCATTAAAACTTAAGATAATCATAGGCATATAATTCATAAAGATCGGGCAAGAATAACTAAATCCAACTGGATGGAGCAAAGTATTAGCAAATGAAAGTATGATCTTTAGGCTCTTCTAAAAGTTAAAGATGTTCAAATTTCGCCTGATCGGAAATAAATAACACTGACATGTACATGATCATAAGTAAGGTAAAATATGTTAAGTGTGCGATCTGTTTAAAATAAAAGATCTAATTAACTCATTTTACTGGTTAAAGGATTTCATTTAAAATTCTTAAGGACCCTTAACGTGACCAGTAGAATTACAGATAAGCATGTTTAAATAGTTAAAACTATTCCCATAGAAAAATTTAAAAAATAAGAGAATTAAGGTATTTTGATGGTAAGATAAGAAAAGCTCTGACGAAAACATCGTCATTTGTTGACCTCTAAAATGTATTCAAGAAAGAGGAGTGACACTTCGTGAACTGACTCAGTAACTTTCTAAATGATGTTAAGCATTTGGAGGACAAAAAATAGGATAGACGAATTCCTTCTAAAAAGACGGAAACCGATACTATGGTTTACTGTCTGACATAGTTTTGAATAAATATTCGAGCCGTGGTCAGCGCACGAACAGGCCTGATAACGATTCACTGGCGAATTCAGTAATTACTAATAAACATGGGAAAGTCATCAGATAAACTGGTTATTTCTTTTTTATGTCATGCTTTTCTGTGGTAAACATTTTGTCTTTGGTTAGAAGCATATTCAGGAAATTTTTAGCAAACATCGTCCAATTAGCTGGGTAGATAATTTCTATCGATATCCTGACACTATCGACAAGCTGGAACCGAAGTAGGTGGCACCGACATCGAAAATCAAATGTTTTAACCGCTAAACTACTGCCCTAATTTTGTTAAATAGTATCAATAGGAATTAAGTTCTCTACCTAGACTGCAAGTTCATTAATACGCTGTTCAGTAGTATTTGTCTGTTTGCGGTTTGTAATGACGTTACCCATTATCAAAGTTAACATTAGGAACAAGGCTTGTTAACTCCAGTTAATCTTCAGTAAATGATTAGTATATGAAGTAGTTTGCTCATTCGAAAAATACGCAATTACCACTAAAAGAATATAACTGTAGTCGATATCTAAAAGCTAGCTGATCAAATAATGAAATAGAAAAAGATATCACCTTTCGAATCAATAAGCTTAGCGACTTCAACTCGTGCCATTCCCAATGCTTTTAACTAGTAGGCAAACACCAATCAGTCTGAAAGGTAATTGTTACCTCAGTTTCTGTATTTCCTTTAATGAAGACGACTAAATCACCACACTCCGGCTTTAATAAATTTAGTAAGTCCAAGTGTTTTGAATTGATATTTTGAACTGAAAAGATTGATATTCTCTATAAAATATGAAAAACAAGTAGAAAATAAGGTAGCCAAATCCATCGAAACACTAATCAAAATTGAACTCAAACAAAACATTCAGTGAACGAGTCGTGACTGAATACAACCGTATATATGGTTGTACACCGTGATAATAGATTCGCTGAAAAGAGATCCCTTCACTGAACTTCGTGTTTTTTTATCAATACAAACTAAATAGTTTCCGAATAGCAATAAGCAGGGTATAACACTGATATTTCACCAACCATTAGGTTTTCCGTTAACTCCAATTAAGTTTCTAATAGTCGATGGAGTGGAATGTTAAACAGACAAACCATTTGTTTTAATTATAGTGATTGCCTAACTAAATGAAAATGAATTGATACTTACTTTCGATCCTGATAAAAATATAAGTTTGTTTCAACCATTTTTAACAGTATTGGAGTTTCAGACAAATTATGAGCTTATGTTATTGTTTTTAAAAACTGGATTACCACCCACATGTACCAAGTAGAAGTTTGCAAACACAAACTCTGTTGTTAATAAGGGTACGTGGGAGGCTGACACTTCCGAAGACACATCATCAGCACATAAAATTACTATTTTGTTGGTGAATGTAAACCAACTGGTTGGGGTCTGCACAATAATCATGGTCAGCGGTTGGAGGCGTAGGATGGGATGGGTCAGAACCAAAAAGTGACACAGATTCATTTACTCATTGCCTCTTAAGTCTTGAGCTTAAAAATCAATTCGCAATTTTATTCCTTGAACTAATCCATTCTTTAAGAACAGGGTTTTTCAGTACGCAATCTTTCTCATTATTACCAGTTATACTATTACTTCGATAAATGTTATTCTTCCTATTGTCAATTTCATCTGGTCTTGGAGACGTAGCATGAGGACTTGAACTGACGCACACATGTACGCGGCTTTATAACTGACCGACTGAGCTGATTTCGTTTTTATGATTGTGTGGATTCTTCGAAATGCATAACATGAGAAGTTTGTTTAGCACTCATAAGCATGTGTAAAATTTGGGGTAAAATCAAGTTTAATAAAATAAAGCACTTAAAAACACCCCGCAGAAAATGAAGATACAGATGACATACTTGGCCCGTTAGGCGAAAAACCAAATCCTCCAAGGAGTCCCAATCTTCAGCACTTAAACTTGATGACTGAAAGAAGAAGAAAGCCAATATTATACGAGATATACACCGTAAACAATAAAGGGCCTGGAGTAAATCCAAACTGTTCGAGGTTTCCACGTTTCTTATTAGAAAAGTGGGAAGAAATTACTACAAAAGGGAAATCAAGTGAAAGAACAATACGGATATTTGAATAAAACCGGGAAAATTGAGGAAATATGAAAAATTATTGCGATCTTAGACCTCAATCAAGAAATCAGCACTTACACAATTTTTTTCGATTAAAATTAACAAACGTTTGGCCAATTGCGTATCGGATACTATGGGGAATGAATCCCATCAGTATGACAATAGGCGTGAGGGGAATGTTTTGCTGAAGGTCATTATCTACTATTCAAAACCCACTAGTTATTAGACTAATATTTTTGTGGAAGTGCTATAAAACCGTGGAGTTCTCACTACTACTCTGAATACCAGGATCAATTTTAATACATTGGTCAACGTTGATGAAGCCATTATGATAAATAACGAACTCTTCACATTGCTGAGAAAACCACTATCTTCTTACCATTATCAAAAGATAGCATTAACAAAGCAGTCATCAGCGGGATATAACCAACATTAAACGAACTCATAAAAATTAGCTAACACGTACCAAGTTGCTCTGAGGATGAAGCTATTTCGAGAAAATTATCTCAACATATCACCGCTGTTGAGCTATGAAGTCGATGAATTATTATTACACTTTTCTATATTCAAATGATACAGAGAAGTGTCCAGATGGACAATTTTCTCTCTAATGAAATATAAACCTGGCATTTACTAACTACATATAAGCTTTCGAGAACCTAGAAAGCGAAGAACCATAAGACACTTACGTATTTCCTTGGTATATTAAAACCGGTGTGTCCATCAACAGCGGAATATGAAAATAAGAAACCAAAGCGTATATCTGGTTTGTCACTTCCATATCGTGACATAGCATCACAATATTTCATGCGCAAAAAAGGTGCCGAAATCGGCCGACAACCTGAAGTGCTCTGAACTGTAGGCCAAATATATAACAACATATTCTCAATTATTTCATAAATATCATCTGGAGTGATAAATGCCATTTCTATGTCCAACTACAAAAGTTAGGAAGAATGGAAAATAACCTGAGTGAATTCGGGCTGTCTGTCAGATCTAGAAGTCTCGTCTCGAAAACATCTGGCGATCTGCATATATTTACTAAATCCACTTATCATCAAAAGTTGTTTGAATTGTTGAGGGCTTTGAGGTAAGCAGTACCATAATCCAGGAAACTTGGTAGGTACAATAAACTCACGGGCACCCTAAAGAAATAAAAAATTATCACAAATACTTGCCCCTGGAGTAATTTTGAACAAATATGGAGTTTCGATTTCAATAAAACCTATATATGTGAATCACAAAAGATGTACATTACCATTATTTTGACACAAGAAGCTTCGCATTTGCAAAGTGATAGATGAACGAAACCGCATGTTTCTTTGCATATTCGACGAACGAAGATCAAGGTAACGATATTTTAATCTTTCTGTTTCGTTGACCTTAAAATGATTGAGTGATCGTAGGATAACAACTAACATTCGCTGCATCTTTCGGAAGAAAGGAAATTAAAGACGAATGACTGAGGATTTCAATGCTTTCGGCAACTATTTCAATTTCGCCAGTTGGCATAAGCTTGAAGCTAAGATATAACACAAATAACACTACCTTATTTACATCCTTTTCCGGACGTGCTTGGACTTTACCTGTCACTCTCAGGACAGACTCAAAAGTAAGTTGCGGAATTGGGAGACAATTTTTATCACAATATATTTGTATTAAACCACGATCATCACGAAGAACAAGAAAACGAGATGACAGTCGACAATGTTCAAGCCACCCGCATACTGTAACGGTAGAGTTGATATGTCGCGTGCTCAGCTCACCACAAGCATGAGATCTATATACAAAGGCCGGCGAGCTTGAAACTAAATAAATCATATCAAAGTAAAATTGTAACTTACCAAAAGCCTTAGGAATAGGACTTCGGAAAGATTGGTTCAAATTAGGAGTACGAAAATAGAGTCGACTCAAAAGTCTTCGAAAAATAAATGACAACATTTTCACAACTATGCCGAAACAATAGATTGAGGTTACCGCTATATCAGTTCAGCGACCTTGAGTCTTCGGATTCAAATTTGTGTAATTAGGGCAGAAGGCCTACGGCCTATGTTATTCCCCTTCTATTATGCTTCTGTGAGTGTCCAGTCTTTTCTTGAAAGAGTCAATTGAAGGTGCGAACACCACTGCCTCGAGCAGTAAATGCGTCTGTGTCTCCAGTTATTACTCGCCAAATTTTTACATCGTCAGCGTATAATAACATTGGCGACTGTACTATACTTGTAAGATCATTAACGTACATTATAAAAAGCAAAGGACCTAGGACGGAACCTTGAGGTACTCCACTAAGTACTGGTCTCCAAATGGAGCACTTGGAATTTATTCTTACTTTTTGCCTACGACCTACTAGGAAATCCTTAATCCATTTTAAAAGAGGTCCGGCAACACCAAGGTTTGCCAACTTCAATAGCAGTCTATTAGTTGGCACCTTGTCAAAAGCCTTACTGAAGTCTATGTAGACAACATCCACTGAGTTTCCGTTGTCTAGCGCATTAATCCAGAGCTCCCTAGCTATAAGGAGGTTCGTTGTACAGGATAGACCCTTTCTAAAACTATGTTGTGCCATGTTCAGCAAGTTATTGGTTTCCATAAATGCTGTTAAGGTCCGTTTGATTATCCTTTCCAGTATTTTAATTACAACACTGGTGAGGCTTACGGGTCTGTAATTTGATGGAACTTGTCGTAGACCAGTTTTATGTATGGGAGTGACGATTGCGTCCTTCCAGTCCATAGGTAACACACCTTGTTCAAGTGACATTTTGAATATCACAGTCAGTGGGGCTGCGATATATTGGGCAATATGTCTCAAGATTTTAGGGTGTAGTTCATCTGGTCCTGTTGACTTCTCCATGTTTAGGGTGCTAAGAGACTTAAGCACATCGTTTTGGTCGAAGTCTACGGTGAGCAGCTGGTTTGTTGACTCCGTAATTGGGTCTGGTTCTTTCTTTAGAGGAGGTTCCTCAGTGAAAACTGCCTCAAAGTAGTTAGCTATAACCTCAGCTTTTTCCTGATCTTCCTCTATCATTTCAGATTCACTTCCTACTTTAATTAGGTTGGGAATCCAATGATGAATCCTTGTTCTGTAGTTTATGTACGAGAATATCCTCTTGGACTGCTTGAGTGCAGATTCTGCCAGCTGAATTTCATATTTTCTTTGCGCTTCCCGAATTTTAGTTATACACACGTTTCTTATCGATCTGTAGTGTTCCATAGTACCTGCTGTACCAAGGCTGATGGCAACATCCCAGCATTTCTTCTTTTGTCTTAGTAAACGTCGAATATCCTGGCCTATCCAGAGATGGCCGTGCTTCTTCTTCTTTGGAACTGTCCAGGGTATATATGGTTGAGTTACCCGATTGTATAACTGCCTGAATAGAGTCCATGCCTCTTGTACTGATGCCTTTGAGTCAATTTCCCAGTTCTCAGCCGATGCTGCGGAGTTAATTGCCTGCATATCTGCCTTCCATATGTTAGGACGGGCCGGCGCAATTGTTTGACAAGCAATCTCAGCCATGAATTTGAATAAGATGACTGCATGGTCACTTCTCCCAAGTGGTGGGAGAAAAGCCGTTTGACCAACGTCCTCACCGTGTGTGAAGACTAAATCTAAAAGAGAGGAAGAGTTTCTTAAGTCGTATCTTGTGGGATCTCTAATGTGTTGGAATAATGCTAGTCCAATCGAGGTTTCTAACAGTTTGCAATCGAATGACGTTATCGATGACCATACTTCTAAGTTAACCCAGTTTATATACGGTGCATTAAAGTCGCCTACTACAAGGCTTTTACCCTTGTTACACCAGGACTTAAGTTTACTTAGGAGAAAATCATCTGCTACACATTCTGGACTGCGATATACTATAACTAATCCAATATCTTGCCGTCTACATTTCAGCTTACATAACACTAGTTCACATGTCCTTGAAACATGTGCCGCTGCCTCAGCCACTCTTATGGTTATGGTACTTTTCGTGTACAAAACAACCCCGCCTCCCCTTCGGTTTAATCTATCAGCTCTACTGGTTAGAATGCCAGTCAACTGAATTTCATTATCTAAAACTTCTGGCAGTAACCAAGTTTCCGAGACAACAAAAACATCCGGTTTTTCTCTATCCACTATGGAATTGAGCTCCGCCATTTGATTTAGTAGGTTGCGAGCATTTGTGTAGCATACCTTTAAGTCTGTGGAGAACTTTCCCTTACCACCCAGAGTGGCTTGGGGATCGTTTTGTTCCTAACATTTACAATTTGAAAACCCTTAAGAACGAGGTTTCTTTCACCGTTTCGGCGGCGCTCATTTATTTTTACCTCTGCAACTCGTCTCTTAATACGATCAGTTAGGCTGAGATCCTCACGGACATATATTCCGGATCTAATCAGTTTACGTGAGTTACCTAGTATCAGGTTCCTTTCTTCAGCCGTGACAAGTGTAACTTTCAAGAGGTGATTTTTCTGAGAACTTTCAGAATCCAGAATTCAGTGGGTTAGTGAACCTGTGTTAATCCTGACAGATTGCTTTCCAGTGAAGGTTTAGCTTCTACTTGAAAATATTCACTTATGGGGCTAGCACCGCTTGTTCGGGTAAGGCGTTCCAGTCATTGACTACTCAATGAGAAGAACGGGGCCACATTTTAAGTTTGTGAACCTTCTTGCTATGACCGCGTAGATTATTAGTGCTTAAGGAAGCAAAAAGATAAGACATATTAACACACAAATCAGAATTAAAGATATGAAATGCCAGTGTAAGGTCACCTCGTGTCCTACGATACAACAAAGGGAAAAGGTTTAGGCGTTTTAAACGCTCATCGTAAGGGAGTTTGGAAAGACCCTTCACTAATTTCGTTCCAACACGCTGGACACGCTCAAGTGAGTTATTATCCTTTACCAGACATGGGCTAGCTACATGGAAACAGTACTATAAATGTGGTCTTACATGGGTGGAATATAAAATTCGAAACATTTCCTCGTCAAAAGATTTGAACGCTCGTCGAAGTGACCATAACGCACGAAAACCTTTGACAGCGGCTGCGTTGAAATACGTTGTTGTTTTTAGGTCATGACCTAATACTACTCCTAAGCCTTTATGCTCTTGAACGTATGGAAAAGGTTTACCATCAATAATATAATTGTAATTTTGGAAGAGAAAAAGAAAAGAGACAAGGAGGAATCAGGAGATTAAAATTTGGGAGAACACAAGGAGTGCATGCACCTGCGCCATTGCAAACGATTTTGAGCCATGTCATTCAGGGTCTCTAACCATCGGTTGCTATCATCTCGCGGTCACTAACCAGGTAGTCTACACCTACCAACGTGACTCAGTCCACTTGTCAGTGACTTCATGGACTTGAACCATGTTTTGGTCTGGCCGCCCCTAGCTTTCTTCCAACCTACTCCTATACCACTGAACATCGCACGTCGAGGCAGTCGGTCGTTGGGCATACGTAACACGTGTCCCAGACATCTCAACACATGAAGTTTCACTACTTCGTCAATCGATTTGCCATCCTTACCTAGTACCCGTTTCCTAACAACTGCGTTACTTGCTCGATAGTCCCAGGATATACGGGCAATATTTCGAAGACACCTATTATCGAATACTAGTAACTTACGAATATCCTTTACTCTTAACGGCCATGTTTCACTGCCACAAAGTAGGATGGAACGAACTGCTGCGCAGTAAACACGCCCTATGGTTGATAGACGGATATCTCGCCCACGCAAGTTGATAAAAGCTAGTCGAGACCTCTGTATCCGTACTGAGATTTCGTCACACACCAGACCACAAGGGCTGATGAAACTTCCAAGATAAGTGAAGCGGTCGACACACTCAACTACTTCACTCCCTATCACTAGTTCGGGTGTCGATGTAACCCAATCCTGAAGCAACATTTTGCATTTCGAGGGAGAGAATAGCATCCCGAACATGCTTGCATTATTGTTTATAGTGGTCAGAAGACTGCATTTTGTCAGCGTCTTCACCAAATAAAACTGTCATCAGCATATTCTAAGTCAACAAGTGGACCTCCCGGTAGAAGTTCAACCCTTGGAAATTTAGATGAGGAAAGTGTTATCTCTCAATCTACGTCCACGACAAAGTTGAACAAGAATGGAGAGAGTGAGCAGCCCTGACGAACACCACTTGAGGTAATCAATTCTGATGACAGTTCACCATAAGCTCTCACTCGACCAGTTCAGTTGTGATCGAGTAGAGAGCCTTTATAAGGTTAATGTACTTCTTTGGTAATCCTTTCAGTGACAAACACTGCCATAGAACCTCACGATCAACAGAGTCGAATCCCGCCTTGAGGTCGAGAAATACTACCATTGTGGGGCGTCTGAATGTGTGTCTGTGTTCTAGAACCTGACGTAGTGTGAATGTGTGGTCTATACAACCACGTCCACCTCGAAAATCAGCATGATTTTCTCTAGTCTGTTCTTCACGAGTTTTGGTTAGGCATCGAATTATTATTGAGGCTAATATTTTAGACAATACATTTGTCAAACTGATTCCTCTGTGACTGTCACAAGAGGACCTTTGTCCTTTCTTATAGACTGCCACAATCAGTGATTGAGACCAGTCAGATGGGATTACGTCCAGTTCCCAAATTCTACCTAAGACCTCAGTTAATCTCACTGCTAATACTGAACCACTATCCTTAAAAATCTCAGGAGTAAACCTGTCAGGGCCTGCTGCTATCCCTCGCTTCAGATTTCCTATGGCTTGGATTGAGAATGTATAATATGTCCATCTTTCTCTGAGTGTTTCGCTAACAGTCGGTGGAATGAGTTTCCGAGCACCTATCAGTGCGATAGATGCTGCTGAGATCCAGTGTTCCTCTCTAACCTTACGGGTTACCGTACTAGCAGATATCACTGCTGTTTCCACAGCTTTAAGGATATCATTCCATGCTGCCTCGGGGTGAGCATCACCTGCATGGCTGCCT